ATATATATATATATCAGCTGGCCTCCCTCTATGAGCAACTCCACCGCCTTGTCCTCCGCCAATCAGGTGGCCACCTCCTCCCACTCAGATGAGTTTTCCTCTCCGCAGATTCCATCGTCTCTTAAATTTTTGATGAGCAATGTCAAAAACGCCATTGCTCAACCCCTCACGACGTACAACCACGCTCTCTGGCGCTCTCAGGTACTCAAGCTCTTCCGTGCAAACGGATTCGAAGGTTTCTTGACAGGCTCCACAAAATGCCCTACTCAAGAACCCCTACCAGACAATACGCAATCTGTCTAGCAGTCCCCTCACGCAACCTGGACATTGATTGACCAAAATCTCGCTGCCGCACTCTACTACATCATCTCACATGCTATCCTACCTTATGTTCTTGCGGCAGATCACTGCACTGAGATATGGTCCATTCTTGATCTCCGGCTTCAATCATCCACTAGATCAAGAATCATCCAGTTAAAGAATGAACTCCACTTTCTGTCCATGAAAGATAAACCTATGACTCAATACTTGCTTGAAGTCAAATCCAAATAGACGCTCTATCTGCAGCCGGAGCCATGATTGATGCCGAAGACGTCATTCACTACACTCTTAATGGCCTCCCCAACGCATATCAAGCCTTCAAAACAGCAATCCGCACAAACCTTTGTCCTGTCACTTTAGACGAACTATACACTCTTCTTTGCAGCGAAGAGTTAAATCTCGCTCATGAAACAGCCAAAGATCTCCATGCTCTTCAACTGTCTGGCAACGCCACAGCTCTTACTGCCACTCGCAGACGGGGTCGCGGCCGCACATCCTTCAATTGAGGTCGCACAAATGGTCGTTCATCCAATACCTCAAACCGCGGAGGCAAACCTGCGCATCCACCCATCACATGCCAAATCTGTGGCAAATTCGGTCACTCTGCAATCAAATGTTGGCACCGCCACGATGACCAGTACAACACTGAACCCACATCCGCCCTCTTCACCTCTCCCACCTCCTCATCTTCGGCAGACTGGTTCTTGGACAATGGCGCGTCGTCACACCTAACCTCCGATCCAACTCAAATTCAACACCCTCAACAGTACGACGGAACCTCTCAGGTAATTCTTGGAAACGGCAGTCATCTTTTGATCCACACCACAGGCAAAGGACTTCTTCCTACGCCCACAAGTAGCCTTACTCTATCTAATATCAATCTTGTTCCAAACTTGGCTTTCGATCTTCTATCTATTCACAAACTGACCACTGACAATAACTGCGATATAATCTTTTCTCCTTCTGGCTATGAAATTAAGGATCGGAAGACCCATCGTCCTCTTCTCACGGGTCCGTGTATTAATGGACTCTACCCCTTTCATCTCAAAGACTCTCTGTCTGCCAAGACACAACAGCTCACCCTCCTATCTCTCCAGCACGTCCCGGACCTTTTGCACCATCGGTTGGGTCACCTATCAAACCAGATCCTCATAACCATCGCTCGTCATCACGGTGATGTTCGCATCTCCGCCAAACAAGATTTTTGCAATGCTTGTAAAATGGCCAAGAGTCATCGTCTACCTTCTAGTCGTTCTCAAACTGTAACCGATTTCCCACTTTTTCTCGTTCATTCAGATGTCTGGGGCCCATTTCAAACTGCCTCTACTCAAGGCTATCGTTACTACATCTCATTCATAGACAATTTTTCAAAATTTACATGGGTCTACCCACTTGTACAGAAATCAGATGTCTTTAATACTTTTCTTGAATTTCAAAGGCTTGTGGAACTACAATTTCATAATAAAATTCATATCCTTAGAATTGACAACAACGGAGAATTTATTAACAATAGATTTAAAACCTTCTGCAACTACAACGATATCATTCATCAATCCTCATGCCCACATACCCCATCTCAGAATGGTGTCGCCGAACGCAAACACCGTCACATAATCGAGACCACTATGACTCTTCTACTCGAGGCATCCTTATCAAACACTCTGGGTCGACACTCTTCTCACCGCCACATACTTAATAAATCGCATGCCATCTCCCAACACCCATAACAAATCACCCTACGAAATTCTTTACCACACACCACCCAACTATACCAACCTACGGTTCTTCGGTTGTCTCTGTTATCCGTGGCTCAAACCATACTCTACCAACAAATTATCTCACCTATCCACTCCTTGTGTCTTCATCGATTACCCCACCTCCCAAAAAGGATATAAATGCCTTGACCTGAACACCAACAAAATCTACACCTCCTGCAAGGTTGTTTTCAACAAAAAACACCTTTCCATACTCAAATATCGATCATCTTGCCTTCAACTCTAAATCATTCTCTCTACCTACACAACCATTACTTCTTGTCCCCACAAACCACATACCTTCACAAATCAATACACTTTCTGAACCATCGTACAGCAATTCTACCTTACATTCCTCCCTCACACCCACCCCAGCTACTGTGCATCAATAGACTGACACTCTCTCCACCGCACCGGCAATTTCTAACAACACGTCACTCCCACCGGCTGATCCAACCGAACATCCCACCGCTGTTGTGCCTCAACCTATTCCCACACACCACATGACAACCCGTCTCAAAAGCGGGAAATCATATCCAAATATAATCCTCGATTTGCTTCACACCATTCAAACCAACGAACCAACTACATATACTCAAGCTGCCAAATCTGAGCATTGGCGCAAAGCAATGTCCCAAGAATTTCAAGCACCGCAAACTCAAGGCACATGAGAGTTAGTTCTACCTGACCCATCCCAAAACATACTAGGCTGCAAATGGACCTTCCGCACCAAGTATAACTCGGACGGCACCTTAGCTCGCTACAAAGCCCGCTTGGTTGCCACAGGCTACAATCAAGAACATGGCCTCGACTACACCGAGACATTTAGTACCGTGGCAAAAATGTCAACCATTCGAGTGCTAATTCTCCTAGCACTCCATCACAACTGGACCATTCACCAGCTCGACGTATCAAACACATTTCTTCACAGCACGCTATCGGACACGGTTTTCATGCATCAACCACAGGGATTCTAAGATTCTCTCCATCCCAACTACGTGTGCAAATTAAAGAAAGCCTTATACGGTCTCAAAACAATCACCGCGAGAATGGTATGCGAATCTCTCCAACCATCTACTTCGCTTCGGGTTCAACATCAGCCAATCCAATCCCTCCCTCCTCACGTACAAAGCAGGCACCGTCCAACTCTACATTCTAATCTACGTCGACGACATACTCCTCACATGTTACTCTAAAACTGAAATAAATCGTCTTCTAGCTAATCTTCAAGCAAGTTTTCAGATGCGAAATCTAGGCCCCCTCTCTCAATTCCTTGGCATTCAAGCCATCCAAACCAAATCTAGCATCCTACTTCATCAGCAAACTTACGCCCAAAAGATAATTGAACGTGTGGGTATGACTACGTCGAAATCTGTTTCAACACCAATTGCTTGCAAATCCAGCATCCAGGAAAACTCCAACACTGAGTTCATCAACCCGCACCTATACCGTCAGCTTATAGGATCGCTGCAATACCTCACGCTCACCCGACCGGATATTCAGTTTGCAGTCCATCAATTGTGCCAACACATGCAAACGCCTCTCAACACTCACTATGAATCATTAAAACGCATCCTTAGATACATTCAAGGAACCTCAGACACAGGTATACCTCTAAACCGAACTAACCTAACTCTCTGAGGATACGTTGATGCAGATTGGGCAAGCAATACACAAGATCAGAAATCAATCTCCGGCTACTGCAACTTTCTAGGAAACTCATTCATCTCATTGCAAGTGAAGAAACAAAATACCATAGCACGATCCTCCACCGAAGCAGAGTATCGCGCTCTGGCCTTCAAGGCATCGGAAATTTTATAGCTACGACGTCTCCTTGCCGACTTTCAAGTTCCCCAAAACAACCCCACCTTAGTCTACTACGACAACACCTCTGCCATTGCCTTAGCAAACAATCCCATCTTCCATGCTCGAACGAAACACATTGAGGTTGACTGTCACTTCATCTGCGACTGCATCAGCAAAAAGCACCTCTCGATTCATCATATATGCACAAACGACCAGCTCGTCGATCTCTTCACCAAGCCGCTCACGACAAATCGCTTCAACTATCTCTCCGGCAAACTCATCTCTACTGCGCAGACATCAGTTTGAGGGGAGATGTTAGCCACGTACACGTGGCATTCTCGAAATGGTCTTTAGCAATTGTACTTTCTTGTTTTACTTTTTTACCTGTATATCGTTTCTATTAATACCTCTATATTACACTGAGAACATAATGAATTAGTCTTTCTTTATTTCATCTCTCTGGTTTGTTTCCTATCTTTCTTGCTTTCTCTACATGGAAATGGAAATTAGAATTTTCGCATGTTAGAACAGTTGCGATAGTAAAGAGAGTATTTCACATCTTAATTTTATTGGAAGATCAAGTGCACGTATGCAAGTAAAAAAAGAGTTTTATTGGATAAGCCCAAGTTTGTTATGTAGAAACATAAAAAGAGGGAAAAACTATGAATTTGGCCTAGTTGAAATGATTCATTATACAATTAACATCATAGAAATAGACTCTTTCAAGCATTTATAGAAAACATTATGACAAAGTTAAAGAATAATAGCTTGGTCTTCTATAGTTATTGTAGAGTTTGTTGGAGAAAATGGAGAGTGATGGCGACGATCAAGAGATGACATTTGCGTGATGAAGTCGAACAAAGGAGATTGGATGATGCTGGTCAAGAGATGGAGGTCAGGCAATGATGATCATACGACAACAATTACGAAATTGTGATTGAATGACAATGAATAAGCAATGATGGTCGATCAATAGCGTTTGGATAATGTAAATTAGTTGATGATGGTTGATCGATGACGGATAGATAACATCATTTTCTGACGACTATCGCTAGGTTTGAATGACATGTGAAGTTCTAGAGTTTCTTAGAACTTAAAGCTCTTTCTAATTTCAAGCCAAGGTGAAGCACACAATCTTTCTCGCTCATGTGAAGACGGTGAGCCTATTTATAGTTTTCCATCCAAAATCTCAAAATACTCAATCAGTCGACCCATATTGTTTATTTATCATTTTTGTACCTTAATGACCTCAAAATTTTATTATATCCTCAGTGCCATCACAGCTAGAGGAAAAATTATTCTATGCAGGTGCCGAACGTCATTTAGAGATCAATCAGAATACGCCACGTCACCCTTTTATTGTACCGATGCTCGAAATTGCTTGGTACAGTACCACGACATCCGAACATAGAGTTGCATTCAACATCCGTATAACAGTTAGAAAGGAATATAGCATTTGTAGTTTCATAAAGAGTCCATCTGGAAGGATGAAAGACAGATACTAAAGCATAAATATGACACATATCCATTTAGGCCCACCTTTGACTTTGGGCCTCCAAATTGAAGCCCAAATAAATATGTGGTTTTTTATTAGACTGATAAATTTAGCAAGTGGAAATTTTGGCATTATTCTCATATCATTTCTTATTATTTCTAATAAATCAAATTACCATTACCCCCAAAAACATATGTATATATTTACAATGCTAACATTTGTATTAATAGGGTGGCAAAAGTACAGTTGAAAAATTGCTACCTATAAATCAACTTAGGCTCATTTTTTTCTTTATGAATTTAAATTGAATGGCTCTGATTGAATTAATAGTGGTGTAGAAATTTTAAGCTTTTGGATCAATACAATATTAATTAGTAGAGTATATGTGATAGAAAGAAGTTATTCTTCTCAACATCTCAAGATCATTTGATTGTTGATTTTAAATTATTGATACATGTCGGTAATAATCATCAAAGACTGTCAAGTTATGTAAAAAAAGTGATCAACACAATCATTCTCTTTGGTATATCACAAAAAAATCATCTTAATCAAGCACATATTTTTAGGCATATTTCAATTGGAGACTTTTAAAATTAATATCAAGACCATTATAACTCCAATTTTAATAAATTTATAATTGAACTAAACGGCTTGATAAGACAAACATAATGACACCAAAAGTGGTCAAATTCATGCCCGCATGAATCAAAATCAAGGGCTTGGAATGTATGTGAACATCTCAATGTCATTTTGATGATGATTTCAAATAATTAATGTGTGAGAAATATTCATCAAACAGTACAGTCGAGTAATATAAAAGAAAGTGATCATCAAAATCATTCTCTTGATAAAATAAGAGATCTTGCAACCAAAAAGAGGGATGTCAATTTTGGGTCACGGGTTCGGTTCGGGTCGAGTCCGGAAATGACCCGGGTTCAAACCGGTCAACACTAACCCGACACGGGTAGGTAAACGTGTCGGATATCCAAACTCGGATCCGACCCGACACGGGTTGACCTGAAACGGGTGTGCGAGTGGCTGTGCTAGAGAGCGCGAGCGGGCGTGCAGAGGAGCGTGAGCCGTCTAGGGCAAGCAGGAGGCGGGCGCGGTATGGCGGGCGAGCGTGTGGGCGGCAGCGGGGGGCCGTGGGCAGGCGAGGCAGTGTCG